ACAAACTAACTAAAGAAGCTACTCCAAACTAGTTTAAACAAATCTCTAATAATATACAATTAAATACAATATTAGATATTTGGCCACAACTAAATCTACCTACAACAAACTCTTTTATCAATATTTTGAACCTAATCCCAACACAACTATTACCAAACAATAACTTCTCATTTCAACTTCACTACTAAAATAATTAAAATATCTTTATTTTTCAATATTATAATTCACAAAAAACCTTCTTCTATCATATAAAAAAATTGCTTTCTGACCAAACTTCCTTAATACTAATTCTTTCTTTACTATCTTCTAATCTCTCTTCTTTTAACCTTCTTTACAATCAAATTAAAAAATTTAATAATCTATCTTTAATTCAAATAAACTATAAAGAAATTTTAATATTAATTCACATATTTATAATTACCCAATCTCCTCCTTTACTCCAATTGATACTATATATTAATTTTGCTTCATCTGAAGTTCAAATTATACAACAAACTACTAATTCAACCTTCTACTAAAATCAATTAACTATTCTTTATTTTCTTATTAAAATCTTACATCTCAATAACTTAGAATTTTACACAGATACTTCTATTAAAAATCTACAAATACTAGATATTAAAGCTAGTATAGAATAGATCTGCAAAAATAGTAATTCAATTAAGTTTAATGCAGCTATCTTCTCTTATTTTGATACTACTCATATTGAACTAGCTTCAATTATCACTCTACTTCTTACTATACCAAACAATTCTATAATCACTATATACTTAGATAATATCACAGTAATTAAAAACCTAATATCTTTTTCTTCTCACAAACTTATTTAAAACAAAAACTGGAATATTTTACAAATTATTAATTCTCTCAAAAGAAACAAAAATATCTTACTTAAACTTATTAAAGTCAAATACTATTCTAATATTTCTCTTCATAATCAAGCTGTCTATTAGCAAAACAAGGTACTACTAAACTAATATCAAATTCTTACCTCTTCTCTTTAACTATCCTATATATTTTAACTAGAATAACTTCCTTATACCAATGAAAATCTGAACTTTTATTAAAATACTATTATAATATAAGAACTTTTTACTTGGTCTACACTTAAATTCTTTGATAGTATTATTGATATCAAATAGGCTCTAATATTTAAAATCTTAAATTCTTTAAAAAACAATTCTCTAAAATACTCTTTTCATATTAAAATTTTAACAAATAACTTACTCACTATACAAAATCTTAGTATTCACTATCCTTATCTATATACTATATCAAACTGTATATAATGCTTAAATACTAAAACACCTTAACATTCTTATCTGCAAGAAAAATAATCCTAATATTCATCAATCACTTATTAATATTATTAACTATTTACTAACTTCACTCAAAATTACAACAATTACTATTTCAAATCTTTTAAATATTCTTTTACACTTCACTTTAAACTCTTCAAATTCCAAATACAATCATATTCTTTTTGCAATCTCTAAAACCTTTATATTTATAATAATTACTAATATTAAAGCCTTAGTTCAAAAACAAACAGAACTAGAGCTTGTACCCATTATAAATTTCTACTCCAGGTTACTCACCCATTTACAAGATCACTACTGGGTTACAAACTAGGTTATTTAAAATAATCTGAGTAACCCAGTTGACCTAGTTAACTTGGGTTATTTGACACTGACTCTTTTGATTAGTTGTTAAAATATCCTGAAAAAATGTAAATCGTACTCGAATTAAACTCCAAATAGTGCATCAGTTATACACGAATAAGTAAAAAAAGTATTCAACTCTTGCTAAAAACACATACAATAACTTTGTAATATATTAATTCAGGTTTCATATAATTTCGTTAACTCAGATTTCATGATATATTCATTATTTATTTCGTGATAAATATTTATTTACTTTGCAATAAATACATTATTTAGTTCTGTTATATACTATTTAAATTATTAGATCTGCGACATGTACTTTAATACTTTCTAATAATATTCTGTAAGTTGCTATACAACCCTAGAATAAGATAATAAAGATATTTACAAGTTATTTAACTTTACATAACATAGTTCATTTAACTTTAATGAATACAGTAAAAAGAAAGTAGGCTGGTAAATACTGATTTCATACTCGCAATTGCTTAGGCTGCCGAACCACCTTCTGACCTACTAAAATACTTGTTTCTCATTTAGTTTCTTGAACTTTGCATATTATTGTATGTACAAGTATATGAGTGTCGCCAAGGGAAAATCTTGAACTAGGAATTTAAATTTATTATTTATCAGACTTAGCCTTTAATAAATTGTTAGTAGTTAAGTCTGATAAATAATAAACTTAAATTCCCAGTTCGAGGTTTTCTCTTAGCAGCACTCATATATAATATTTATATAGGTAGTAACAGCAATAAATTACAAATACTTGTGGGTTTTAAATATATATTAATTAAGCGGTAGGTATAAAGTTCCTTAAGATCATTCATCTCAACTTCCTGATTGTAGACGTTTTCGCACAGCAAGATTCTTTCGAGAAAAAGTAAGTTTACCCAGACAATTAGCCAGTCATACGTACATGCTATAGAGGTAGTTACATTTTTGCAAAGGTCACGTTTATAAAATAAGGAGCAATTAACCTATAATATGCGTTGTAATATATGCACCGTTAACCCCATCATGAGTAACCGAGTCACCCGGTTAGCAATAGGTTGACCCGGTTAACAGACCTTATACGGGTTAACTCTTATACGGGTACAAGCTCTACTCCCTAAGTTCTAAGTTATACTTTGTTGCTCGTTTAACCTCTTGTTTACGTGACCCAAACCTTCCGGACGCTTTTCACCAACCTTGTGACCCAAGTAACCTGTGCCTTAATAGTCCCTCAGCCTAATCTAACGCACCTCTTTCGAAAGGTTACTTACCCTTGGTTACGCGAGTTTTTGTATTGTTGAGCGACCGAGTCGCAGTCTTTTCAATACTCACAATGTATTCAATACGGTAAGATTGGCGCTGGTACCCGATTTCTGTTAAGGAAGTTTCCTTGTTCTAATGGTAATAATGCCAGTGAAATGAGCTGTTAGTTAAATTAGTTGACTACAAAATGAGCTTGTCTAGAAATTGGTTATCTGTGAAACAAATATGTCAATGAATTGATTGTAGGTGAATTGTTGTGTCAATATAATGAATCGTCTTCATACTCACGCATAATTTCGACAGCATTAGGTAAATACCGTAATTATAAATAAGTATTTTGAGATAAGTTCCAGAAAAGTATTTACTGTATTTTCATTGTTCACGCATTATTTTAATTGCAAATAAGTATGTTTATGTTGCAACGTTAATAAATCATCTTTATACTCAACGATTAGATAAAAATGAGAATTGATTCTAATTAGATTACCGATTAAAATGATTAGCAAAGATTCTAAATACACATAGGTTAAACATCTGTAAGCTGAAGAGACGAAATATTGTATGTTCACTAGTTAATCAAATAGAACAGTTTAGAGATTCAGCATCGTACAGCACTTATAAAAGATCAAATCACCTGCTACTAGTGTTCCGATCGGTTCGGGTTAAAGGTCAGCCCGACCAGAACTTGACCCGAAAATTACTCATAATAAGGCGGGTCAGCATTAAATTAATTTTGGCTAGCATTAAGATTAATTTTGGCCAGCTTTAAAATTAATTTTGGCCAGTATTAAGATTAATTTTGGCCAGCATTAAGATTAATTTTGGCCAGTATTAAGATTAATTTCGGGCTAGCATTACGTATTATATTGGTGTAACATACGCGTTAATTAAAATTTAACATATATAATATCGGTTCGTTTCTCTCTCATTATTATACACATACCACATAATATCGTTCGTTTTTTTTTTTTTTTATCCACCGGTTTGTTTCTCTCTTTCTTTTTTTTTTATATATCTACATATATATATTCGGGTTGATTTCGGGTCCGGTTCGGGTCGGGTCAGTTCAAGTAGTCTAAAATAAGAAAATGTAACATGAAAATCACAAGATTACAACATCCAATCAGAATCAAGATTTTGTGGACGAACGTACACTTCGTTACGTTTCTAGTATACACTACGTGAAATTTTCAATATCACTCCGTTTCTGGTATTCTATTTATCACTCCGTTCCTGGTATTTCACTACGAAATCCCCTGCAAAACTACTCCCACTCCCTCTTTCAAAGCGGAAATGTAATCGAAATCAAATTGGTATGGCCTTATCTAAAATTTGTAAATGAATTACGCTCAATGAGATGTAAAATAGCAGAACTTTACTATTATCATTATTACAAAAATAGAGCTTTGAACATAAAATTGCGAAGTTTAAATTTTCTTAAATGCTAAACATCTTAGACGGGATATTTATAGTAAGAAAGGTATATAAGCATACAAGACAAAAATTTTACAAAATAATGAAAAAGAAAGTAAATTTCATATTTAAAATAATGCATATATAAGAATATCACGACAAAAATTTTGCAAAATAATGAACAAGAAAGCAAAATTCATATTTAAAATAATAAGTTATTATTAAGGAAATTCGAGACCAAATTTGTTGCCTGGATCAACAATGTCATTTTGCTGTTGGATAACATCGTAGACAAATAAAGGATTTGAATAAGGATCAAACATATCGGACCCCAAATTATCATTATTGTCGTGTTGGATTATATCAGGTAATAATTCAATATCCATATTGTCTTGAGACACGACATTAAATTGATCTTTAAACGAATAATTCACGTTCGGAACTGGACTTAAAAAAAATGGTGTAGTATTTTCGGTTGATGGAGTTGTTATAGGAGCTGAAACAGAAGGTGTATCAGAAGTTGAATCAAAACTATTCTGAGAAGGATTTGGAATAAATTCATAAAATACAAATTGATTAGACGAATAACTTGGGGTGGTAAGCTTAAAGCATGCGGATGGTTGTTTTTTTTTTCTCTTTCGCTTTTTTTTTTTCGTAGACGAAAGATCACTAAGTTTTGAATTTTTCCAAACAACTCTACGAAATGAAACATTCTTTTGACGTTTATTATTTAATTCAATCTCGACTTGTTTGGAAAGTTTTCTATATTCTATACAATAGTTAGTATTTAATATAAATTGTTTAAGTGAAAAGCAAGAAATTAAATCTTTTAAATACCTTCTTTAACAACTTCTGGTTCATTTCTCCAACAAATTCCAACCAATTTAGAGACATCGGTCATCTTAAGATCTTTATAAGTTTCGGAAAGATGGTCTAGAAAAGCCTTGCGGTAAATAAAAAAGGCGTTTGGGCTTTTCATAGTTAATTGTGAGGATTTTCTTCTATCAACAATCTCAGCGGCCTTAATGGTGGGTGGAAATGGAAGGTTAATTAGTGGGGTGAACACAGAAAAATTTGGAGTTTGATATCTCATCGGGGAAGTTACGTTGATCGTAAAATTATGAGACATCTTGAAAATAACTATGCATAGGTAGAAAAATAAAGAATGAATAGTAATCACCAAAGGAAACGGAAGAATGTCAAAGGGGTTTTTATGGAAGAAGAATGAAAACCTCAAAGTCAATTGATGTTACACAAAACTACACAGGATGTGATTATTTTTTTGATGAGCACAATCAGACTCAGAATATTTTAAATCACCATTTTTGACGACATTAGGAAATTATTAATACAGAAAGAAAAGGATTTACATTAAAAATTTATAACGGCCGAAAGAGGAGAGAAAAAAAATGTCACCAAAAGCGAAAATGGGGAGAAAATAAGTGGGCAAATTTGGGTAGCACGGCAAGCCATGGATCATCCTACATATGTACGTACGTACGCAATATAATCTTGATTTCTTTTTTGAGGGAATCTTAATTTTTATCAATGGTGGTTCATAAATGTGTGTTTATTTATTGATATCGGTATTATACAAGTGGAGTGATTTATTGTTCCATAATTGGCATCAAACTATAACAACCCAAGATACATCGGTGCCGCTCACTTCACCAACAGTCATTTCACCGAAAGTTTATTTAGCCGACATCACATGGGGTTAGGTTTAGGGTTTTATTAGTTTCAGGTATATATTTTTAGTAAATTGTCGCTTGGCGTGATGTCGGCTAAATGAGCTGTCGATGAAATGATTGTCGGTGAAATGATACGGATCCAGATACATGCGTACGTACTATATAGTGACGTAATAAAAATTATATTAAATTGATACAAACTGTGCAAATAACTTTAATTTATATTGTACCAATCGTCGAAGATGTAACCTCGTATTTTTCGACTAGAAAGAATATTTTAGTTAATTTGTACCAATGTATTCCATTTTAAGCAACTTTATTAAAAAATATATAAACGTTATATTTTGGATATATGCATTATAGTAAGGTGCCTCAAAATGCCATCGTTACTATAAAAGAATTTCCGGAATCTATTCAATGAAGAAAATTAATAGTCAGTTTGGAACGAATTAACGCAGAGCTTGTTTTTTTTTTAAAAAAAAGAAAAAACACGATAAAGCTGCTATCTATGCACATCAAATCAATAAGGAATACCATTCATTTAATAATATATTGACAAGATAATAGTCGATCATGTTCGAATTCTTATTCAACTCGCGTTTAGTATAATTTATTTACAAGTTCTGACAATGAATAAAGACCCATCCAAAGCCGTGATTCGTAGTACGATCATTCAAAAAAAAAAAAAAAAAAAATCAACATAATATGCCATGCATATATGTACACAGATTGATAATTAAATCTTATTACGATAGGATACGTAAAGATATGATTTCGATAACGCTCATTGACTGATTAATTGATATTTAAAACTTGGTTTCATAAAAAAAATAAAAAAAATGAACCAATTAGGCCACGCAAAGTCGATTTTTCGTTTTGCATTACATGAAATTCTAAATTTGTTTTTTTTTTAATGTTAATGTTGCCAACCCGTAAAATATAATAATTTTGCATTTTTGACGCCAGCTTGAAATCATTTCGCCCAGGCCAAATATTTCGGATTCGCCTTAAACATTACATCAAAGGAAACCAGACCTCGGGCTTACAATTTTATTTGTTGAAGAATATAAAAAATTTTGAAATAGTTGGTAAAATGACTAAAATGACTAATACGTACGTATGTTCAATTTCACGTGATCAAAGCCGTTTTTCGCCACACGAATTAAAATATACTTTACGTACGTAAAATACGGTTTATACATGATGTTATTTATAGATTAAAAAGTATTTTCAATCCGTTTCTTATGGATGCCCTAATTTCTCCCCTGGAGCTGGGTAAAGTAAGTAACATATGGGATCTGTGTCTTAAAATGACCTTACGGAACATAGTAAATCATATGATCTAAACTTGATTTTAAGGCACAAACCCATATGAGTGCGTGAGAGTGAAAACCTGGAAACCGATTTAATGATTTACTATGATCGGTTTCCAGGTTTTTACTCTCACGCACTCATATATTATTTTTACAATTATTTACGTAATAAGAGATAATAAGTAAAGAATTATGATGTGTGCAAAATTCAAATTATTGAGTTTAAAATTTTACTCTCCAGATTAATAATCATTCATCATAAGCAACAATTGGTAATAATACATAAGTGTAAGTACTGAGTAAAAAAATAAGTAATTATTACTTACAGTATTATTGCCCATCTCTATTCTCTCCCAACTACAAAAATTTGATTAATAATAGAATTACTCCGCTAAGTGAATAATTAGATGACTAGAAGTGTTCATAATATACAAGAGAACAAGGACCTATTGCAACTTTGTGATATCCCTACAATAAACACAAATACTGTACCATAAATTTAGAATCCTTGGATAGATAGAGTAATTACATCACCAACTTCATATCCCGTGATTACACGTAGAAATTACGAGTTCCGTCCACTTCACCGATACTCAGTTTACCAAATAGACCATTTCACCGATATTTTAGCCCGATTTAGGGTTAGGTTAGGTTAGTCTAGCAGATTTTTATCGGAGAAATGATTGTCGATGAAATGACTGTCGGTAAAACGACACGGGCCTATATTACGTTATGATTCCACGAAAATTATTTCCCCGCCAATTAACTTCCCCAACACCAAATTACCGACATGTTATTTCACCTACAACATATTTTTTCGACAAGACTTATACCGACACATAATTCTTACCTAAATCAGTCAACCCTAAATGGCAAAAGTCACGTGGGTACGATGCTTTAATCATCCAAGATTCGAAAATCTAGATTCCGAATTTCTTTTCCGGTTTTCTGATTTTTCAAGTTTGTCAATTTAAAATTCTAGTTAATAAATATGACGTGAGCCATATAGGCTGATTTTTGGAATTTATATAAATTCCAAAAATCAGCCCATATGCCAAATGTGGTGTGATTTCTGATAAATGATGATGTGATTACTGTATCTATTAATACTGACCAAAGTTTTGGATAACAATCTTAGGGTTAGGTTCCTATACATAAGATTTAGTAAGGAATTTTTTACTTAGAGCCGAAAGGTGGTTTCATAGTCACAATATTGAGATATTAGCGATTTTTTAAAAATTACTTGTTTTGTTACACATACGTTACACCAGCATAGCGGGCTTTCGTTGTAATTGGGGGTCGTCTAAAGCGGAGCGTCTACGGGCACGTACCAAATTACGTACCCTAACTTTAGGTAAGTATATTAACATGTGACAGGTTTTAGAGTTATATAATAGTTACGTGAATATTCATGTGATTGGTACGTGCCCATAGACGCTCCGGTCTAAAGCGGAGTAGAATCACGTGAATTAACCAATCAAATCACGAATTTTTTGTTGACCCGGAAGACGCAAAAAAAATAAAAAACGCAAAAATACAAAAAAACGGCACTAATAAAAATGTCGGGAAGATAATTTTACCTATATACCTGCTAACTCTAACCCTAACCCTAAAGTTAATTTTAATTTTATCGGTTTTGTGTAACCTACTCCGCTTTAGACGTTGTAAAAGGCAAATCTGGTAACCCCGAAAGCACTCATAATCCGAGGTTACACTGACCGAAATTCTTGTTAATCTTGG